CTTGTAACAGCTTATTGAAAAGTCCAGTTTCTCTAAGAAATGAGAGTTGAAGATGATGAAGTTGAGAAGACGAGGTTGTCTTCCAGGTCAGATTCCAAACTATGTGGTATGCAGGTCCTGTTCTATTTGGAACAGCTTATCACGAGGTGTTCAATGTGACAAATCACGTGTGACAAACTAACTAACTAACTGCAAACTAATTAACTAACTAACTAACTGACTGACTGACTAACTAACTAACTAGCTAACAAACTAAATAACTGACAAACTAACTGACTAACTAACTAACTAACTTACTAACTGCAAACAAACGAACTAACTTACTAACTAACTAACTAACTAACTAACTAACTAACTAATTACAAACTAACTACCTAACTAACTAACTAACAAACTATCTAACTAACTGCAAACTAACTAACTAACTGACACGTTAGTTTATCACGGGTGTTCAATCGTCATCTTCTCAGAGCACTCGTCACATATAGGTGCAGGGTCTCGTGACGATAAGTTGTTGGATGACCAATGGGCCAAACATCGATACGTCATCGTCTGTTAGTCACAAGGCTCACTAGTCACTAGGTCTAGAGGTCTTGCTTCCTTACTATTGCTAATTCAGACCTAACCCCCAGGCTACAGGGCCTAAGGGCCTCAAGAGTTGCACAAGAAGTCTACGAGATTTAACGAGTTTTAACTTGTCCAAGAGAGTCAAATTCCATTGCAAATTCCGTCATTCTTCACAGTTGAATTCAGCGTGAGTTCAATGCAAATGAAAATAGACTCTTGTAACACAAAAGGAGCATTGCTTGACCACCCAGATTCCAACCAAATAAGAGTGAATCCTTCTAGAATGTCCAATCCTTATGCACGTAACTATCACTTGTTCCCTTCTTGGTGTCATTAACTTCCTTTCTTCAGTAGAGTGATCAAACAAACTCACAGTAAATCTTCCAATATAAGGAGCTCTACATATCCATTCCTCTTCCCATGTCATTTCCAGTTTCATTTTAATTTCTTTTAGAAGATCATCCAGGATAAAAAGATTTTGGATCTCTGCTGTTGACCTGGTGTCGTTACCTTGTGTTGGAGTATCTAGTGCACAGGGATCTATGCCACAAATAATTGTCTATATTTCGAATACAATATCGACACACTTGGCTAATAATACTCGACTAATGGCGGTCTTTGCACACGTGTAGTTAGAGACAGAGTGAAAACTAGTTTTCTATATATTGGAATCCATTAAACAGTTGTTGTTGTTCTAATTGAATGTTACTTCAGTTTGTGGTAATAAAGTTATATTGCCCCTTATCGATTCTTAAATTTAATCGATGCAAAGAATGTAATCGGAAACGCAAACGTACGTCTGGTTAGCGTTGACGTTTGAATGTGGCCTTTGAAGGTAGCCGAGTTGGTTGTCCGGTTACCGAAACTTTTAGAAAAAGAAGAGAATTGAAAAAGGGTGATCAGACGGAAAGGTTGCGCGAGAAAATCTAAATAGAAATCCTTGCAAAGGACTCATTAGTTTACGTTGAGCATTCTTTCGTTTCGTTTAAGTGTTTGAGTTAATTATTAGTTAAAGTTTAGAAAACTGCATATGATAACAAGACAAAGGCTTGGTCGCCCGAGAGGACCAAATGCTAACCGCCCTAGGGAAGTGGTTCATGATTCCGCTTCTCCGACATATACATATAATATCCAACACCTTGTATTCCAACTTATGATGGAATCCATACGAATACCATTTCTTCGTTCCGTTTCCCAACCTTCTACCGAGAACCATCGTCGTGGAAAAACCAGGATAAGGGGATTCCCGACAACGCGTGTCGCCAAACGTGTGTTTGCTCGTCGGTATCGACGCACATATTCCAAACGACAGCAATCTTCTGACTCACCGACACTGTTACACGTCACGACGATAATACGAAATTATGTTCTTAATCCGCTTACGATTACAAGGAATCACGGCAGCCGATTCGATCGAACTTGGACCGGTTCGTTGATTAGCGGCGAACGGGGGATCCCAGTGATTCACGAGCGCCGGGAACAAACGAATGGAAAAATGCCTGGACTTGGAATCTTTCGAAACCTTTTTCAGAGTTCTGAGAGTAGCCTGAGACTCTCTTTATTTGTAGCTCGAATCTTCCAAGAGATTTATTTCCTGCACGAGCACGAATTACGTACTACGTATTATCTATGATTTACGTACTTTGGATGTTTTTATTTATCTCAGCAATGTTGTATTCTATTGGTCTTAAAGTTGGTCTTTAAGAAAATGTTATGCCATGTTTTCTCTCGATTTAACCCCTTGACGTACGATTTAATACAATTTTTCAAACGTACACTATTTAATTTGATTTTATAGATTTGTTTTACGAATACCTCGTCAATGTAAACGACTCGATGACGAGTTAGTAGCCTCATAATTGTGAATCAGACTCGTCATTGTGTGACAAAGGGTTAAAAGGATCAGATTCTTCGTGCTCGCGTTGTAATACTCTGGTTATTCGAATACAGTCGCGTGTATTTCGGTCATTGAAAAGCACGAAATGTAGTTTCCTACTCGCGGTAGCGCAAGGCGTTCGGTTTACCGCTAGAAATGTAACTCTCGTCCATTACATTATGTGAGAAGGCGTGTTTATACCGTGTGAGAGGCGTCGCGGCTTCGGGACGGACCAATCGATGATTTCTCGAGAGTCATTAACTCATATAACGAATGATACTGGGAGCGGCGTTGCGTCGATTACTTTACCGCCATACTATATGCGTCTGTCAATCGTAGCGACTAGAAGAGATCGTAGACGATATCTTCACGATCTCGAAACCGATATTACGAGTGTGATCCCAGAAGTACCCGACCTAACAAAAATAAACACAAGAAATTTGGAAACGGATATCTTCATTTTTCAACGTAATCTCCTTTTAGCTGGGTACACTTTTCCCAACGGTGTTCAATAGCTTCTGTTGGATTTCCTAACCGTCTCACGTTGTTACAAAAATCATCTCCAGTGACGATTGTATATGTCTGGAGTTTTGACCATGGGTTCTACAAACTCATGGTGTTTATTATACAAAGATAAGAGTTCGTCGCTAGGGCGAACTGCGCTTCACTCTCGCCTTTCATCTGCGGATGAAGTCACAGTCTTGTAACAGATCTCTCAGAGAACAGAACGGAACTCCAAGATATACCTTTACGTATTATTTAATAAAAGTAAAATTCTACCATTAATTATTGTTGTTTCAATCAAATCATACGTCCCATAGCCCTACCTTTTCCAGTAGCTTCGATGCCCTGTTTATAGTGAGAACCATCGAGCTCCTCAAAATAGCCATTAATCGCAGACTCCACGATTCGCAGGTATGAGTTGGGAATGTGCAGGTTAGTATTCAGTATTCACATCATTATGTTTCGTTCAATCAATAAAATGTCACTCCATTCACTATTGTAAGTGACGCATTAGTCTGAATACTAACCTGCACATTCCCAACTTATACCTGCGAATTGTCTACCATGAATATATTATGTTCATGAAAAACAACTGATCCATTGGCGATTTCGCCCTGGACATTTGTGAACGAGGCCCATGCGACAAACGCAGGCCCAACACGGCACTGAAATGAAGGTGGTGGGGCACATTTGCCGTCCCAATCTGCTAGAGTATCGCTTACACCCCACGGTTTTTCCTCAGGTGCCTACCCGAGGTCCCTCGGACCGGATGGGCTTTTACTACCGGTTTCTTTTGTTCAAAACCGCAAAATCTCGAACTTTGAGGCCATTTTTCGACATTATCCCATCTGATATCGAAGTTAAAAATGGTATCAGTCGATTCGCCTTGGCGAGACCTTTCAAACGGTGTATAGCATATGCTGTACGCTCTTGGGTCAGTAAACCCCTCTATGACTTAACATTGTCCTTTATGAGTCGATCTAATGTTTCAATGCTGGAACTACAATTATGGTGTGTTTATTTGTACCAAAGATATTGAAACGGCAGACACTCACAGAATTAAATCTTTAGAAAAAGCCTCCTATAGAAAAAGTTACGATAAAATTTCGAAAATACAATCGAGTAAATTTTTTACAATTACCATTCGAAATCACGAATGGTGGTAGCTCTAAACACATTGACCCACGTCGTTGTAAACTAACAAAAATTGATTTCCGTGATACGCGTGTAAAAATCGCCCGAATGATAAATCCGTACAACGTTCGTGGTCCGAAAAAATGCTGTTTCGGGTAACGTTTGGCCACGCGCGAAGTTGGAGACGCATCGCTTCGGTAGGTCAGTGCGTGCGTCGCGCGCGAACGTAATTGACGCTTATCGGGAACACGTCAAGATAAGATACCAGTTCGCAAAGTTATCGTGGTCGTCCGTATGACGAAACGCGGTGGTCGTCTTTTCTTCTTTTTTTCTCTCCCTTTTTTTTCCCCAACCGAAACGCCGGCGTTTAACTCTGGCCTCGTTACTTTTATCGCGAGATCTTAAAGATCGATCCAGTCTAACGCAACCTGCCGCGGCGAGCGTCGCGTTTCTCTTTCTTGACAGTAACGACGCGATACGACTGTCCTCGCGAGACATCGGTATCGGCGATCGGATTCAATCTAGCCGCGTAACCGTCAACGATATTAAATTTCGTTGCTTCCATATTTTATCGGGCACGACGGGATAAATCTGAACGATACTCTTTCACCGACGACCGGATATCGAGAAACCGTGACTACGAACTCGATACGTATCGCGTTATTTATCGTACAACGGAGGTACGCTTTTATCGGACGATATTAGAATCGTGCAATTAAAACGATAAACGGAACTTCGATCGTTTGAACGGCGAGCGTTGAAATTTAACGATCGAACCCGTGTTGTCGACAGATCGACGCAGGAGCCATGTCACCGGATCCGTACTACGGATCACGAGAAATCGACGTGGAACCGGGAGAATCGGATCGCCTGCCGGACACGATTAGGACCGAGTGAAATCGAACAGTATCGCCGATAATCGAGGATCGACGCACGAGATCGATCCAACAGCTTGCAACCTACGGCCTCCCCGCTGGCCTGGCCAGCTACTATGCGAATTGAAGCTCTCAGCATCCTCGTCGCGGTAAGTTAACCGATCGAAAGTCTATCTAACCCTTTACAGACACGCTGCACAGCGTTTCGAGCAATGGACAAGAATAAAAAAAACTATTATTTATAAATAATGGCTTGTTATAACTTAAAATCCCGATTTTTAACTGTATTTACTATTTTGTCAATTAAAAATGATGCTTCAAGATTGATGGCAATTTTTTATACATTTAACGGTAAATATATGCCATTTGCAAAATTTTCATCCGAGTTACTTGATTTTTATAAGTTATGCTCGGTATTATAAAACCTTTCAAACTGCTGATTAAGTTTTTTGTAGTACTAATGATCCCTCTCAATTTTTCTATTCAATGTTTCCTCGACTTTGACTCGAGCTTTAAAAAAATTAACAAGAAGCAACTCCGTGATATTTATTTTTTACTAATTAACCTCTTCACGCCCTTGGTCACATATCTGGACGTTCAGTTTTTTTTTTTATATATAATTATAGTTATTGTCAATAATAAATAGACCAAAAAAAAAAAATCGTGTCTGAAGAGGTTAAGAGGATATGAAACTTTAAGTCAACGTCAAACCTAGCTGCCCAAGTTTGCCCGATACGGAGAAAACATTCGAAATCGTTAAAAGGATTGTTCGTTCCCCGGAGCGTAGGCTGTGACCGCGTTACGATAACGAAACGTTCAATTAAAATATCCGAATCTGTTCCTTTAAAATAATTAATAGACTGCGGATGTTTATGCATTTATGGGGAATTTTAATTCTCATGAAACTACAGAATGCACTTAATATGCAAAAATCTAAGAAATATTTAAAGTAAGATACGAATTATTGTATTTAAGGGTTGAGACAATCATCTACAAAGCTCCCATTTTATTAATTCTATTAATAAAAATATGAATTTGCATAAAGATCCGCAGTCTAATAATTAATAACGTGCCCAGTGATCGATCACTCGAAAGAATATCTTGAAATACAAATTATCGCTAAAATCCTAAAATTAAAATGTTTCGGTAATTGGCCATTTTTTCCTTTCATCAAATAGTTGACAACTCGCAGAAGAGATCGTGAAAAACGAGCAATTTTTAAAGTATCGGGAAACTAACTGTCCGTTTAAAAAAGAGAAACACAGCTATAAACACTGGGAGTGATTGCTGTAACGTGAAGTAATGTGAATTCTTGCGTTCTTGCATTTTTTTAGAATTGCAACGGCGGTGGAGGACTCTGTGGATTTACAGAATTCGTCCCCCCCTCCCCGTAGTCGATAAACGTTTCCCTTCTTTTCCTTTTGGTCGTTTCTCGTCGCGTCCTGTTCTTCTTGGCGCGCGGTTGGGCGTCCCCGGCCGTATTTGATTACAATTTTCGGCTATGACACCCGCGGTCAACCTAATCCACGGTTGGATTTCTAATGACGAAAATTTTCTACCCACGCGTGCCCTCGCGACCGCCCCGGAGTTCTTTTAATGGTCCGTTTTACGAGTGTCGGATAAATAATTCGACGTAAACGACTGCATGAATAAATGAATACACCGTATATAGGATCGATGGACGATTCACAGGGCATTTTTAGTGCGTTTCTGTATGTATTACCGAGGCAATCTGGTACAGCTACCGGCTTTCTATTATTTATGAAACAACGGTAGGGGAGACCGGGGCTAGTTGACTAACTTTTAACATATTTAATTATTACAAATGAACCATTGTTATTTTATTCACTTATTGTATACCAATAGTTTACACATTTACTGAGGTATACAGTGTAATTTTTAAAGCCGCTTTGATTAAATCTAAGTTGTAGTTTTTATCACATTTATGCAGGTGTGAGCAATAAGTCAACAAACCCCGGCTTTGGGGTTAGTTGACTTATACGACGGGGTTAGTTTACTTGACATTTACTTTTAAGTTTTAAACAAAAACTAATAAACAAACAACATTTATTTTTTACACATATTAATTATAACGATGAATTTTAATTTGTAAATCGTCATTTGAATTGCAATTTATACAAACGTAAAATATTTTATTTGAACCGATACACTTCTCGTGAGCCCGTTTGCTGCAACGTGTGCATTGCACCCACTTATCACCACGAACGCTCTTACTATACAGTTCGTCGCATATAAATTGTCAGAAGGAAAATATTTACTTACCGCTATCGTTTTTGAATATTTCGCTCTCACTGATGTAAAATGCAAAGTATTGTCACGGTAACAAACTACATGACGGTTTAGACATTCATATGTTCCAAAACATCGATTGCAGCCGCATGCATTTTATAATATAAAAATTAAAGGCAATTAGTCAACTAACCCCATTAGTCAACTAGCCCCGGTCTCCCCTAACTGTAATTGAATATTACACGCGTATCACGGCAATCTATTTTTTGTTAGTTAACAGCAACTTGGATCAATGTGTTCCGAGCTACCACCATTCGTGATTTCGAATGATAATTGTAAAAAATTATTCGACTGGATTTTAGCAATTTTAGCGTAGCTTTTTCTATAAGAGGCTTTTTCTAAAGATTTGTTTCTTCGAGTGTCTGTCGTTTTAATATCTTTGGTACAAATAAATACACCATAATTGTTGTTCCAAGCATTGAAACATTAGATAGACTCATAAATTCGTGACGTTTGTTTTTCTTAGACCGACGGAGATACGAATACGCTTTGTATTTAACCCCTTAACGTTCATGCCAGAGTCTAACTGCTTTGAAAAACAATATTTGTTTAATCCAACGGATTAACCCCTTAGCGCTCATATTTTTCGGGTTAACCAAGATTGATCAGTTTTCTTTATTGGATTTGTTTCCAAGCCGTATAAAAATACGGTTTTTGTTAATTTCAATGTTGTATCCGACGTATAATTTGAAGAAAAATAAATATTGTCAACCCTTAAACAATTAGACCAAAGAAATATCGTTTTTCAAAACAGTCAGACTCGGGCATGAGCGTTGAGGGTTTAAGCATTGAGAGTGAGAAAACATTGTTATCGTATCGATTTCTCGTAAAATTGTTTTTACCAACTTTATACAATTATAATAGATACGTTCTATTCGTCCACCCACACCTGTTTCCGCCATTTTTGCGCGCTGCGCGCGACGGTAGCAGCCGGTGCGCGGAACGACGCGAGAAAATCGCGGTGACATTAATATGCTAATCGTTCTCGTGGCGCCAATAGTTCCAATAAATAATTCTCTTAACGCGCCATCGTACGACAGGCTGTCGCGTGTGTATAATATCCGCTACCGTTATACGCGCATCCCCCGGACTCGATGACAGTCCGATAACTTTCTAGGTTTATGTCCGTCGGAATAAAAACACCCTGTTCCACGGATCCAGCAATAAATTATACCGACTGCTATATTTCATTCCAACTCTGTTACCGTATATCATTATCTGGGATCTGCGATTATTTTGTCGACGCGTTAAAAGTCCCGACGTCTCGTGGTCCACCGTTCAAATGCACAACGATCGCGAGAAGCTCCATTCGCGATCGTTACGGGGATAAGATTACTTCTCGAGTGCAACGTAGAGATCGAGGCGATCGACCACCGAATTAGCTTTCTTTGATAACAAATTGTCGCATTTTCTTTGGAAAATGTCTTATATCTCGGATGATCCCTGGGAAAAATTTATCTCAAATCGAACATTGTCGTTGGAAGTGTTTAATTTTTAATAGTCTTGTCCAATATGACAAATTTTTAATCCTTAGGGGAATTGTGAAAATTACTTGGTGATGATTAAATTATTGATATTTGTTGAACATGCAAACGAGCCCTGTATTGCTTTCCCCCTCTACCTTCCTTATTTACTTCACTTCGCGCTTCTCTCTTGTCTTGTCGTCCGTGTATAGATGTTACCGTGAATGACCGAAATTGGAGAATGTCAACTTTCACCGGTGAATGTCAACAGATACCAAATACGTCGGTGAAAGATCGAATATTTCATTACATTGTTGTACATTCGGACCCTCTCCGGTGTGTGTCGACAATCACAGATATGCTCTGGTGGAGGTCCAAAACAGAAGAGTCAAAATACAAGCGACTGGCTCTCTCCTGCCAAATCCTTTGTTCTGCTCGGAGTCAATCAGCTTTGTCAGTCTTATGCAAGCTTTGATAACGCGAGCAACGTTTTCTTAATTTTTTTCCCGATACCCTAATTTATACTAAATGGATACTGCAGTAAATCGTGATCTTTTTCTAACCCAGACCTAACCCAGACCTAGTCCAGACCTAACCCAGACTTAATTCAGACTTATTCCAGACCTAACCCAGACCTAACCCAGATCTAATCCAGACCTAACCCAGACCTAACCCAGACCTAACCCAGATCTAATCCAGACCGAACCCAGACCTAACTCAAATCTAATCCAGACCTAACCCAGACCTAACCCAGACCTAACTCAGATCTAATCCAGACCTAACCCAGACCTAACCCAGACCTAACTCAGATCTAATCCAGACCTAACCCAGACCTAACCCAAATCTAGGGTCTGGGTCAGGTCTGGGTTAGGTCTGGATTAGATTTCGGTTAGGTCTGGGTTAGGTCTGGATTAGATTTCGGTTAGGTCTGGGTTAGGTCTGGATTAGATTTCGGTTAGGTCTGGGTTAGGTCTCGGTTAGGTCTGGGTTAGGTCTGGGTTAGGTCTGGGTTAGGTCTGGGTTAGATCCTTTCAGAAAGAGAGGCGAAAAAGTTACGTCACCCTTGTGACGTTTTATAGCGACTGAATTACGGAGAAGAAAATATAAATCTCCAACATGTTCAACACTCACCATTATTGCATGGTGAATGTCAACATTTACCGGTGTAAGTCAGAAATAAGGGTGTTTAGCAAATATTTCGGACATACACTAAGCGACTATGTGAATGTTGACATTCACCGGTGAAAGTCGACATTCTCCAAATTTCGGTGTTTCACTGTAACATAGACACGTGTTCAAACCGCTGTATTCTTTATTGCTAAATAAATCTTGTTTCGTCTTTAATCTAAACTGGGTATAGAACGTTATTTGAACAA